TTGATATTGATATGATTTATATACATATAATTTAATATTTTTAATGTACATGTAGGCACATACTCAGCTGCAATCAGCAATTGATCCTTATAAATGTGATAATGTGAGGCTAGTTCAAGAATGTAACCAGCTTCACATAGATTTGATAAAAGAAAAGGAAAGTCATCAGAAGCAAATTAAGGATCTTAAGAAAGAAATATATAAATTGGAGCATGAATGTAATAATCTTCAACTAGTATCTTCTCGTAATTTGCATAGGATTAAAGAATTAGAGATTGAATCTGCTAAGAAGTCAAAAAAAATTTTGGAACTTCAAGGAAAGTGTTTGAAGCCAACTATCAGCAATGTAGGATTAGGTAAATTGTTTTATATTTCTATGGTTTTTGAATTACTCTTTTTTTGCAATATTTGTAGTTACATAATTACTTTTTGCTATGACAAGTAAACTTAATCCTTCATAAATGACAATATATATTACTTAATATAGTAAATGTTCTTAAATAAAAATCCTTACAAAATTTGTTCATTTTTAGGAATTTTTGAAATAAAAATTTTATATTTTCTAGAAAGTGAACCATTACCAAAATCAGGAACTAAATCTGCCCCATTACCAAATTTAAGCACAGTTGAACCAAAAATTGTTGATTTATTAAGCATGGCAGATCATAAGATGAACTGTTTAAGTCATGAGGTAACAAAATTAAAAGGAGAACTTTCTTTACAAATCGACAATGTACAAACATTAAAATGTCAGGTATATTACTGTTAATTACATCTGCATGAATTTTAATTATTGCTTGCATTTTAAAAATGTATTGTTTCTATTATATTGCATGAGTGTTCTTATTACTGCTGATTACAACTACTAACAAATGGTAATATACAATGGTATAAACACTAAACACAAGCATGGCTATTTAAATTTTGAGGAATGAAATTATTAAGTACAAAATATATTAGAAAATTATATTTACAGTTAACTACTAAGGAGAAAGAAATTTTGCGCTTGAAGAAAATGTTAGAAGGAGGTAGACCTTACACTGCAGTTTCTAAAGATTGTGCATGTAAAAGAGCAGACAACAATTTTGCAATGTCTAGTCACAATGTAGATGCTAATGAATTGAAAATTCTTCAGCAAGAAAAATTAGAATTGGAGCAGCAATTAAAAGGTAGTAGAATTATACATATATATTTCTTTTAATGTAAAGTGAAAAATGCATTATTTATACCTATTTGTATATTACATTGTACATAGAAGCTTTAAATAAACAGCATGATGCCATGTCTCAAGCACTTAAACTTGCTGATCAAAATGAGGAATTGGAAAAGGAATTGAGAGATATAGATCATATAGCTTTAGCTGTGGAGGCTGATTGTAATTCTGCAGTTAAAGAAAATAATAGAAGAGTTTCTAAATTGCAGGTAATACTTTTTATAATGTTTATAAAAATTAAATTTAGTATCTAAAGTACAAAAATTTATGTTATTGTACTTTTTTCCTTGGGATTTGTATCTCCTCAGGAAAAGTTAGAAAATGTAATGCAACGAGTACATATATTAGAAGATGAATTAACTGCTGAACGTAGAGGAGTTCAAGAATTGAGAGCAGATCTAGAAGCTTGTAGATTGGAAAAACTTAATATTGAGCATACTTTAGAATCTACTTTAGATGAAAAAAAGCAGATAACTGATAGGATAAATGAGCTAACAATAATTGGTACATAGAATATTCATTTTCACATAATTAAGAAATGTAATTAAACAATTTCACAATTGATAAGCATTTACAAAAATATTGTAGAAAAAAATTTGAACGACGAAATAGAAAGATTGGCTAAGGAAAATGAGAAACAAAGACAAGATATTATTCAGTTACAATATAACAATAAACTATTAAAGAATCAAATGAGCATACGGGAAACTTCACTAGATGACGAAGGAGTAAATTCAAAAGGAACTAAAGAGAAAGGGAGGAAGAATGATTATAATAGAGGTAAGATTGTGGAATATTATATACAAAGAAGACTTATATAATAAATTTATGCAAAATTAACAGGACAGAATAGAATAGATCTTCACGAAATATATAAAGAAAGAGAAATTCTTCAAAACGGAAGCAGTACTGGATACAACAGTGTACTAAAGCAATTAGATGAAAAAGAAATTCAAATAAATGACGTATGTATCTTAAAAATATTAATCATTGTATCTATTATCATACAATTGCTTAAAACTATTATATGCAATTTATCAGTTACAACAGGCGTTTGAACACTTGAGGAGAGAACGAGACTTTTACAGAAACGAATACAACAACGTTAAGGATAATTACAGCAAAACGATTGAAAAAGATCATGTAAAATTTTTTCGTTATTGTTTTAGTCAAAAAATATATAATAGTTTAAACTTATTGTTATTTGTATTTATCAAAATAGATTGACTTATGGTCACAACTTCGAGAATTGAAACGTCAATTGAATGAAAAAGAGAACGCATTGGATGATTTACAACGAGAAAATAAGAAACTGTTTCGCGAGAAAACTAATTTAGAGATACGCTTACAAACTTGTAAAGGTGAACATAAAGCATCTTGTCGACCCTGCAACGTGTGCAAACGAGTTAGTGCATGTAATTGTTCTCCTTCAGTTATGACAGATAGTAAGACGAAGGTAAAAATTACGCATAATTTCATGTAAAAATTGTGCAATTTATAATTCGAGAAATATTCTCATTTAAAAGAATGATACCTTTCAGGGGATTATTGAACGTTTGGAACATGAACGAGATATTGCTCAAGCGGATGTGGAACGTTTAATAGAAGAGCGTGATGCGTTGCGTGAAAGATTAAAGGTAATTAAAATATTTGAATAAAATTTCGACCGTATTAATCCTTTGCGGACGGGACGGTTCGAAGCCAAGCGTTCCGTGGGGTCGAGCCGCTGTCGTGATAGTCGTTTGAAATTGCCAGCGCACATTTCTGCCTACACGCTATTATCGTTAATAGCACTCCAAGATGCCAAATTCTGGACATATATACACGCATAGATTCTCCACAGGATAAATAAAATATTTATTTGTTTATTAACATCTTTTATACATGGGTCATAGTTGCTCCATCAGTTGTTTTCGCCGAACGCATGTATGAGCTCATCGGCCAGATTGGATGGTTTACGCAGGACACATATACGCGGCGGTAGTCCGCAAAGGGTTAATTAGTAACAGTCAATAAGATTTAGCTTCAAATAATAATGACACTTATAAATTAGATGTCAACGGAAGCACATACGTCTGAACAACGTCGGTTGAGAGAAAATTTAACCGATGTTGAAACCCGGCTAAAACAGATAGAAAAAGAACGACAAGATCTTCTACTTACGCAAGGAGCTCGTAAAGCAACCATAAATGGTCTCGAAGACCAATTACAAGATTTGCGAGAAGAATTACGACGAACCAAACAAGAATTAGGAAATCAACGCACACAATATTTTCAACTTCGGTATTATCTCGTTTTTTTTTTTAAGGAATTCGATAAATTGATACAGTGACTGTTAATATGTTATCAGTAATACACGACTCCAATATTAACATACTTTCATTCATGCAAAAAAAAAAAATTGAAAGTATTCGTTAAAAACAAATTAGGTTTTCATAATCTTTAAAAAAGAAATTTGTACTTAATTTTTATCGAGCAGTGCTTACTAGGCTGTATCTTAATGCAATACTTTCAAAATTAAGTTCCATAATTTAAAAAGTTTTCCCCACTTTGTTTTCATTACCATAGAAACATTGACTGATAAGAGTATATTAGTGAATATGAGTATTCCTCGGAAGAATGTGTTGATTTGATTTGTGTTTAATAATGATATATAAAATATCATCGATGATATAAATGCAGTCAATGTGTTAATTGTAAACTTATATTTTCTTATTTTTTAGTTATAATAAATGCATAGTAAAAATTAAATAGTAGTGTGGTCAAAACAAATTTTTATACATACATTTTTCAAAATTTATTTCTTGCGACGTAGTACTTATTTTAAATCAATGGATATATACATCATCATAAATATGTTTCAGTGCTCTACAAGATCAAACGGATCAGGCGTTGGGAGATGCTCAGAATCAATTATCGCAATCGGAGACTGAATTAAATAATACACTGGATCGCAATAGGGTGATGGAGCGACAGCAGTTGCAGTTTGAAAATCAAGTGAAGGAATTACAACAAGAAATCAGTAATCATAAAACAAATATGACGCACTTGGATCACGAAAAAGATCAATTGCTAGTAAGTAACATAAATTATATTTAAAAAATGATCAATATTGATCATGTAAAAATAAATAACTTTTGTTAGATGGTGTTAGACGAGAAGACGGAAAGAATAGCTGTCTTGGAAAGAGAAATAATGTTGAAAGATCAACAAGTAATAGGAAGTGAACATCAAATTCGCGAGCTACAGCACAAAAACGAGTGAGTACCATTTATATTCATAAAATTCGATACATTCTAGAAAATCGTATCAGTTTTCAGGAACGTAATTATTATATTCCAAGGAAATCGCTATATATTATTCGTATTTACAAAACACTGGCAGTAAAACCAAATTTGGTCAAACTATTTTTTATAATGTAAATGCAATGAAATATTCAAATGCCAAGTATAACAGTTATATTAATAAAGCTACATTTCTATAATAAGAATAGAATTAAATGATGAAAAATTCTCTGGCGCTAAAACATTAAATAAATAGGAATTCCTACAAAATTCGCACGAAACTATTCAAAGTATTTGTACAATATTATTTACAGACATATTACTTAGTAAAAAATGCACAAACAGCTATTTCAAACAGTTCATTTTATCACTACCACGGCGCTGTCCCGTATAGTCTGGTTTCTTTCGCTTAAAAGTTTATCGATTTCGCTCTTTCATTGAGAAACTTTGCTAATCTCACTGTAGGTGGCTGACAGCCACCAGGGGAAAAGAGACTATTGCTCTCTACTTCAGAAGTCTCGGAACTTTCCGTGATCCTTTTGTATCCAGGTCTGCATTCGCACCTTGCCCTTTGTTCCGACTCTTCGATCTTCCATAAGCTCTGTTTTGGCACTCTTCGTGCTACCAGCCATTCTCCAGCGGTGCATGGACCTTGTGTGTATAATTTGTAACAGATTTTATTTATCTCCACCATTCCTGGCATGGATTCACAACTGTTGGTAGTCTCTTCTGTGCACTTTTCTGAGTCCCTTAATATATTTGTGCATCCACAAACTCCATTATAGCTGATTCCATCAACAGATGGCCGTACGTTGTAATCGTACAAAACAACTTGTCCATTAGGGCAAGGTCCTCTAGTTCCTATTTTGTAACACGTTTTTTCTTGTGGAAAATACAGTCGTCCTCGTTTACAGGGCATAAGAATACAAGTTGTGGAATTCACTAGCATATAACCATTGTCACATGGTCCTTTAGTATATAGTCTGTAGCAGAATCCATTTTCATAGAGAACATGACCTGGCTTACATATACACTTGGCCCGGATTACCTCTTCACTGGTCACTGTGTTTGTTACAACAAAGTGATGCCCTTGCAGACATGGGCCAATACCACCTGTTAATGATTTATTGATATTATAAAGTAATAAACAGTATTAAGAAAATGAAAAGACTTTTTTAAGTATATCTTGAAGTATCTTACCTAACTGGTAGCACATTCCAGTTGGCTCATGGTAATGAAGTAATTTAGAGTGACAACCACACACACCACCTGGTAAAAATAGCTCTCCTAATTCTGTACATGGGCCCTTAGTGTAATGTTCGTGGCAACCACCTATGCTTTCTGGCCAATGGTATCTTCCAAGTTCTCCAATTGTAGAACAGGAACAAATTGCCAGCCCATCTTCATCTGTAGTAATGAGTTCACCCTTTGGACAAGGTCCTTTGCTGAATTTGGGGTAACATTTGCTATCTCTGGGCCAGTATACTTCTTCTTTCTCTGAACATGGCTCTGGTTCACGGCAGACACCCCACCTTTATTCAACATTCAAATATATATTCAGATATTTCTGTTATTCACTTCAAGTTATACCAGTTTATTAGTTGTCTAACCTAGACTTTCCAGAAGTCTCTGGTACAGGTGCAAAGAATTGTCCCTTCAGACAGGATGCTCTTGTGTATATCCTATGGCAAAGAGCATCTCTGGGAGACTGTGCAGTTCCTGGAGGACACCTGCATTCAGCCACAGTCCCACCTCCACCTGCAGCTGGGCCTAGTTCCATTGTTTCTGAACATGGCGCTCCAATCTTTTGAACAAATACACAATTAGGAATTCCATGGTTCATGTCAATTAAGTGAAAGAGAAAAGAAACACACAAGAAGCTGGTTCTAATGTATGTTCTATTAACAGAACTCCAGTGGCTCTGTAAAGAGAAATGCAGCACCTGCCTGGAATATTTTGTAACACTTTCCATCCGCCGGCCAAAATAACAATTGCCAACCACGTGGTTGAGCGGCACAGGGATTGCTCGACGGATCTGCCCATGGTGGTGGCATTATCGCTGACCTCACGCGAACTACTGACGTGAACCAGATTACTACCAACAGGTCCCGTAAAGCGCTGAAACGCATTCAACGAATTTAGGTTTAATTGAAAGTGAAATTAAATAGAATCTAGTCAGTTTTGAATTACATTAATATACATGGTATCTAATGTAACTGGAATGAATCTTAAAGTACATTAGCAAAATATATTAATTTTATCGTTTTTGTAAATACGGTATTTTTAGTAGCATTAGTGAGCAGAAAATATTAAGGTGGCTTATCATCATTGAGCCATCTTATATAGTAATCAGAACAGTATTTACTCATGAATTTTCTTTTGCTTATCTTTTTTTATATCCATGTGTTATGTCTGAAAATTCTTTTAAAACTGGAATATTCAATTTATTGACAAATTTTTAAATCTTATATAGTAATAATATTCATAAATGTTTTATTATTAAGAAAAGAGTAAACATGAACTAACAATCATGTCAGAATAGAGAAAAGATCGTTCAGGTCCTGTTTTCAGCTCAGTCGATCAGTGGTGCCGGAAAATAATGATTACGATAGAAAACGCCGCGTATTTGTGTCTACGTATGTCAAGATCGAGGGTACTGGTAGGAAAGAGCAAAAGCACGACAGAAATAAAATGACCATACTTTCACTGTTTCACTATGGCAATGGCATTGTCCCTGGTGGCAGGGCTCGAGATGACGACATGCATGTAGAATAAGAATACCATCAAGTGCCGCACAAGTGTTGCAAACTGAAAGCAAAAACACTTTCCTCTTTTTTCTCTTTCGACTTTGCCCGCTTGGAAACGAACGGGACGATTTTGAACTACATATATCCGGCCGGTTCTGCTAGTTTTAGATCAGACAGTCTTATCTTTTTAATGCACGCTTAAGTGCATTAAATTTGTTCATTGGAGGTTAACATTTTTTGTAATATCGAGTTGCACTCGCGATATACATATGTAGGTTATTTGGATTTAACATAACATTAAATACCGTGTTGGAATAGGATTATATATGTATATCAACGATTTTCACTTAGTGTAAAAATGAAGCAATTAAATACTTCATCGTGGAAAGTCATTAAAACGGCTATGAATGTTAACTTTAGTTATTGAGAATTAGTTTTGTGGTAATATCTGCTTATATTTTATCAACAAATTAATCTGAGTAATTCAAGAATATTTAAAGAAAAATATTTGAGCATTATGTTTTGTTGTTATCCTAATTTATGTATGTATATTACATATTTTAAAAGAATTTTTATAAACGAAAATATTAAAGAATTTTTTCAAATAAATACATTTAGTAATTTGTTCAAAATTTTTTACATACAGTAATCATTTTTTACATTGATAGTTGTTTCTTTTCAATAGAAACAATTTTTACATTCGATTCGTAGATCCCGCGAAATTATACAGAAAGATTAAAAATCTTCTTTGTTGCAATCGTCAGCAATTTAAATTTATGACAGAAGACGTCTACATTATTCATACTTCCAAAATCAAGGAAGTGATTACAGAATGTGAAGGACCTTGGCACTTAAATCTTAATAGTTGCTAGACAAGCTTTCTTCCACGACTTTCCACTGCATCGACGAAACTAGTTTTGCAGATCACTTGCTAGCGTTTTATTAATTGCATTTCCTTGTTTACTTCTCCCATTTATACACCGTGGGTGTTTCGAGTGGGTCCATAAGCATTCCGATCTAAGAAATGCCATTCAAATCTTCGTTTGGTTAGGTTATGTTTATATGATCGTATATAATATTTCTACAATTGTAGTGAGATTATAGCAATTATTCAAGCTTTTGAATTATTTTTGAGTAACTGAAATAGTTTTTTCATATTCAAAATTAAAAAAAAAATGTTTCCATTTTTTAAATAAATATATTTATTTTCTTTTTTATTCATGTTTCAATGTTTTCGAAGAGTATATTACGCGGGCATAACCTCGTGTTGTCGGTTTCATAGTAAACAAACTGGATTATTTCACGTGGTTCCGCATTGAATGCACTCATTACCGAAAGTCGCACAGTTCCGGAGAACTACAGCGCGTTGTGGAATGTCGCGTTTCCTTTTCCTGTGTAATTATTGCTCCCCATTGTCAAACCGCCGTGACTTCTACTTCGCGCAAATAAAAAGTGAGAGTACTAGTGGTGGAACCAATTAAGTAATGTTTACCTGTTCTCTGTATACACGTGTCTTTTTTGCAAATATAAATCTGTATTTTGTAATTTTGTAATATAACGTTAATTCTTTACATTTCAATGAAAATAAAACGTGACAGCTGAACTTCATGTCTCTAAAGCAAAAAGTTAGGTTAGGTATTTTTTTAAATCAATTTATATCTTTAAAAAAAGGTAACAGTTTTCTAATTTATTAAAAAAAAATTTATTAAGATCTTGCTATTTTTCTGGAATAACTGTTCAATTATGACCACCTACACCATATATAATAAGAAAAATAAAAGTTTTCATTTCGAAAAAAATTTAGTACGTACATATACTGATTTACGTTATCATTCATACTCTTTTATTAATCATTCGTTACACAATTGTCTAATTACCCGTTGGAAGATGAGAGAGAATTACATCAGAACTTCACGTTTATTGCATTTTAATTCGTGGACACATCAAGATGAATTGGTATGTTCATTTACGATAGCTAATTGACGGTGTTTGAACAAGATTACGTATATTCGAATCTGTTTTTTTATGTATACGAATATTCAGTGTTTTCAAAAGTTGTATTTTTTTATGTTAAAAATAATCTAGTAATCATATATACCTATAAATAATACATTTAATAATCAATCGATACTAAAATTGTTTTCAATATATTCGACACTTTTGATTGACCCCTCAGTGTCAATTTCTGAATGGTTATAAAGGTTATCTTAGTGGGTAGTGTAAATATTAAACAAATAATTAATAATGGAACGTGTAATAATAATTTTCATAGGATTGAATTTTATAAAATTGGTAAAACAATCGAGCTTCGAATAGTGTGTAACTATAGCGATACAGTTTGCAATAATGGCGGCTCTATTCCGTGAAAAATTATTAGTGTGGGTGTCAGGTTCATCCTTCCTACTCTGCTTAGCGTGATATCGTTTCCAAGCGGCGGAGGAACATGCGAGGAAATCGTTAGTGATATTTTATCGCGGAAAGAAACAACTATCATGAGTTCCGTAAAAGGTTACTCTCATTGCCGTGTGGATCATAACGATGACAGACGATATAGGTACGATTTTTCTGTCATTGTATTATCAGTATTATTATTGCGGGAACAAAACCACGTGTAACACAAGTTGGATTTATGAAAACATCTTTGAGAGAAATTGAGACATTTTTCCAATACCATTAAACGATCCAGCAATTTTCCAATTATTTTTCAAGAATAGTCCTGCATCACAGTAATACAAATTAATGCAATACAAAATGAGTCACAAATTCAAGTTCTTCAAATTTATTTTTTATTCTGAAACCACTTTCATAATCATATTTCATAATTTTTTCTCTTTTTTATTATTTCAACGCACTTGTTACTTTACATTGCATCCACCCATCTGTCATCTCTCGTGACGCAATCTGTCATCTCTGGTTGGATCCGTTCATGCTCCTTTCGTATCTCTTTCACGTTTAGCAGGCTACCTTTTAGTTTTTATGCGCGTTACATAATAACGGCGCACGCGATAAAAATCGAAGGCGTTATGTCAGTAGCACATCACATTGTAGAGCAGACGCTTTGTAGTCTGTTTCCTCGGGCGGTTCGACGCGATTCCATGGTACGCACCGCACGTGTATGTATTTTCGAAGGGGATCACCGTAATTATTTAACTTCGGATTTTCATTGTCAACTAACTGCTTTCTCCTTATTCGCGTGTTCGAAATCTACCGATTAGCTACCATTCGTTCTGTTAGACTGATAAAGTTCTTCTTTGTCAGTGCATAAAGTACTAGAAATTTTGTGTAAAAAAATTTGTTAAATATATAAATAAGGGATTTGGGACAGTTTGGATTCTTGGAGGTTATAGATCGATCGAATATGCACACTGGGTATTTAATGTCACTAAAATTAGGAAAAGGTATCAAATATTAATTGTTATTATATTTTATGCAAAAAAATTGTCTAAAATATCTTATTGTTTAAAGAAGATGAACCGATTTTATGTGTTCAAAACACGTGACACTGTGCTTTTTCCTTGTTTTTCTCATCTCGATGCACAAGGGTGCCAACATTATAGGCTTGATCCTTTGACGCGATTACAGTGTTAGTCAGTCAAATGTCCAATATTGGTACTGTTTTAGCAACTTCTAAATATTGTGAAAATATCTTATTAATTAGTGCATAAACCAGTAAAAAAGCAAAGTAATCCTTCCTCTACTTTTTTTTTTTTGAGATCGTAACAAGAAATCGAAGAAATCGCCGAAGAAATCGTAACTTAATAATTATGAATATCTTAAGTATGTGTTAACCCATTATTTTTCTGCTCCACGTGCTTTCACGCTAATCTAATCTATTTGCACTTCGTTATCGTCATCATTTTCTTTTAAATTATTGGTTAAAAGATGAAATCAGCTTTTCCTTGGAATTTAACCAAATTAACTAAAATTATTTTAACTGTTACTTGAACTAAAAGAAAGTCCATTTCATTATTTTTATCGAAATAAAATTTTTGTTAATTAATGAGTTCTATTAATTTAAACTTCACTTGATAAACTCATCTCTTTCATTGTGTTCTAAGTTAGACACCTAGAACCCCATTGTTGTGTCCTACTTAAATCATTCTAGCGGCAGAATTACGTAACGAGTCGTAATCACTGAGTAATACTATACAATCAATTTTCAATCTCGCAAAGATCACGACGTGACATTTGTGTTAGGCAAACGAAGCGACCTTTCAGGATTAGTCATTGTCATTATACAACTTTCACCATTTAATATGCAATAGAATGTTTATTTTAAAAAGTTAAAGTAAAAAGTTAATATTATATTATAGATAAAAAACAAATTAATGAATGAAAAAAAAATGTCTTTTGTAACGAATAATTGTATTTATGACAAGAGATTCTGTCTAAAGACAAGAATTGAAAATAATTGTTAAAAAAAAAAATTATCCATTATAAAATAGTAAATAAAAAGAATAGAATTTTTATCAGATTCATCAAATTTTTGATGAAATTGGGGAATCCCCGTGAAATTGTAGGAAGCTCGAGCAAATTTATGCGAAATCGAAATTTTACAATGCATTATTCCGAGAAAGTAACGAGTCAGCCTTTCAAGAAGTTGCAGGAAGGAATGAATAACTTGGTAATGTTAACAGGCTATATCTCTTTATGGAACATTCGTGTTTTAATTGCATCGTTACATTTTTCTCTCGATATGCGAATTATCGCGTGTTTGCCGGTTAGATTAGGTTAGGTCGGCTGGTGCTCGTTATCAGGATTCGTGTATTGGTCTCGTAAATTTTATTTCACGTTTTCAGTTCGCGATTTTGATACTGTTTGCACTATTGTGTATACTTATATTAATTAAACAGTTTTTACGCATACGATGGATAAAAAACACGAGATCTTGAATTTATTAAGAATTATAAAATTTTTTCGAAGTAATTATTTTTCCAAATCAA